AGCAAAATGCCCCTCTCTACAGTACATTTTTTTTTATCTGACTAATGAGTTTATGGACACCGAATATGTTTTTCTGAGGTAAATGCGCGTTACATGACATTGGTACAAGCCGTTATACTGACATCTTTGCGCGGATTAAACACTGATTGAGCAATTACATGAGACAGGATACGGATTGTAAAGTTGTACTCTTTCTTTTAACTTGCCTTCGGATGTTTAGTCATGTTTATTTTGTGCTGAAACTGGTATTAAAGTGGAGGAGGAGATCAGTTCACGTGCGCCTCGCGCTGCCGCGTCTGTTGAACTGAGGCGCTACAGCGATCTGTCCCTCCACATTAAACGGCGCCAAAACGGCATTTATTGTCATTTGAAATCTGAGACTTTGTTTCATATTAAAAGTACCAAAACACAATGCTTATTGCAATATATTGGATGGGACGTTCCGTCCGCTTCAACGTTCCATCCATTAACTGAAAACAGGCTAAAATAATCGATTATTGGGATTTAAGAATCGACATCGTTCCATAAAAATGAGAATCTATTAATATCGAGATAATCGATATTTCTTACCCAGGCCTAGGACGTAACACCTAAAGCACCTGTTGCCACCAGCGATTGTTGTATAGGACTAATTTTGATCAGTGCGACTAGAAAGTTGTTAGTAAAAGTGTTTTTATGCTTCTTTATGATGGTATTCAACTTGATTGAACTTTTAAGTGTAAGGCCTCTCATGCGAGTCCAGTCTTGTCAATTAAATATTTTCTTTTGCTCAAACAATCTGTAATTTGTTGGTTAAAAAGCAAAGTCTTATGAACACACGTTTCTATCAACAGGAAGGCTTTGGATTCACTGCAGAATAAGCCAGAGTGTAAGTTGAAGACCATACAGAAGGAGTGATTGGTCCAATTCTCATATTCAGGCAAGACTTGTCATAACACTTACATATTATTTCTGTTTTGATTGCTTCTATTGTCCTCATTTGTAAGTCGCTTTGGATAAAAGCGTCTGCTAAGTGACTAATTGTAAAATGTAAGCATAAATCTATGCAAAGATTTGCATGATATATCATTATTGTTGTTATTTTTACCTTATTCTTCACTGCATAATATACAATTGTGGTTAAATGTTTTAGATCATTGTTTTAATATCACAAATCATGTCTGTTCATTTACAGAGTGATCTAACTCTTACAGTATGACAAGCCAATACTGTGAACACTTGGGATGTGGGGAGGAAGACAGACTGATGGTTTTCATGTTGGATGCAGTTTTGGTTATGTCAATAAGTAATCAGTATAATCAATAATTTTTTTTCTATGTTTTATACCTCCTGGGGTCGGAACTGTGCACAGCAGCTCATGTTGGTAATGGAGATAGAATTGAATTACAGAACAGCAGACACTTCAAGTAGCATTCAGTCATACTTTATTTTTTTATATTTTCAATAGACAAAATATTACCATTCTATACCAGTGGAGGTATGCATGTTTTGTTGATTAATGTCGGTCATAACACGTTTTCTTACTCAATGCACCTTTAGAAACTTGTGTCCAGGCTTTAGTAGGTCATGTGAATGTGACTGATTCACTTTTATTTATGTTGCAAAAATAAACTGTTAAATTTAGTCTTAGTTGTGTGATTTGTGATAAAGGTATAGACCAGAGGTTCTCAAATCTGGCGCTCGAGGTCCATGTTTCTGCAGAGTTCAGTTCCAACCTGGATCAAACCCACTACCTGTAACTAGTAATCCTGAAGACCCTGATGAGCTTGTTCAGGTGTGTTTGATTAGGGTTAGAGCTCAACTCTGCAGGAAAGTGGGAAACAAAATGAACATAGTTAATGTGGTTATATTAATCAAAAACAAATTAGCAACGTTTACATAATCATAGAGAGTAATATATTCATAAAACTAAGTAAATGTAAATCTCTAACAAAAAATAGATAATAAAATCTACTTATTTACTTCAGTAAATGGTAAGATTTACTTAATATTTTGATAAATGCAAGGCATTATTAGAAAATAATAAATAAACTTAATTACTTTAAATAAACACAACTTCTAAATTAAATATATTTACTTAATTAGAGTGCAATTAGATGTAATTTCTTCATGAATAATAAGTTCAGTAGTAAGTATATTTTGCTTGATGATAACAAGTTGAACTTGATATTCGAGCAGTAAAATTTACTTAAAATGTGTTAGGATTAGGATTTATTTTTTTTCCAAGTTATTTTTTTTTTTCAGTGATATATGGTCGATTAATAGGTCAGTGAAGTCACTGGTTTATCTAGTCATGTTTATTTGGTTTTGATATTTTTTAGCTGATACTTTTCAAAGATACCTCACTGGAGATGAGTTTAGAAATGCACATCTAAAACAGTAATTCTAGCAATAAGACATGCTGTGCTTTAATGTTACAGTCCAGTGACTCTTACACTCTCAGTATGCTAAAACCCTTTCCAACATGTTGCCTCTAAATTCCTCCTCAAAGGCACCACGGCTACCCTCAGCAAAAAAAATAATTAGATTAAAACAACTATTGTCAGACCTCTAATTGGCCACAACAAGCAATAAGGATGCATAATATATTACCATAATATCAGCCTATATTAGAGATTTTTTTTGGGTGAGATCAAGTCATTGTTTTGCAAGTCACAAGTAAGTCTCGAGTCAAGACAGGCAAGTCCAAGTCGAGTTGCAAGTCCTCAAATTTAAGCTTCAAGTCCTAAACAAGTCATTAGTGCTGTTTGCCCAAATTAGTGTCTTTGTATTAATTACTACAGTAATTTTCAAGTAATTAATAGTCTATATAATAAACATATAATAATTGTGTGGTGTTTTGTGGAGGAATTAATAATTGTTTGTGAACAAATCTTAGGCCTAAGTGAATGAATAATTTCTTTCATGTTCACGGTTTCATTTGAAAATGATTCAGTGATATTAATGAATCAGTTAAGTCAAATATTTAACTTTAGCTTGCTTGGCCTACGTAAATCAGACGCTCATTTATCGCCACTTACTGACGTAGGTCTACAGAAATAGACATTGCCTAGTTCTAATGAAGCTGAAAAGTAAATATATAACAATAGTTATAATATATAGGCTACAAAACTTAAATAAAAAGAAGAAACCATCCGTGAATGGATTTAATAGATGGAAGGAATGAATAAGTGTTTTTTCTTGTAACTAATTTATTTTATGTTCTTAAAGGCTATTCCTTCAACAAATATTGATAACAACAAATTATTCAAATTTCATGCTGTCACGGAGAGGAGCGCAATATAGTTATAATAATGACAAATAACTATAATATAATAGTTACTCTTCATTCAGAATAAAATGTTAATATTTTAATAATCTTAATAGTGTTGAGTCAAAGATGACCTATTATGCTCCTTTCTACAATATGTAATATAAGTCTCTGGTGTCCCCAGAATGTGTCTGAAGTTTCAGCTCAAAATACCCCACAGATCATTTATTATATCATTTTAAAAATGCCCATTTTGAGAGGAAGCAGAAACGAGCTGTTTTCGTGCATGTATCTTTAAATGCAAATGAGCTGCTGCTCCCCGCCTGTTTTCCAGAATAGGGCTGTTCCTTTTCAGCTTGAAAGTCAGATAATCTGATAAAACACATCTGTTTGGTTTTGATTATCGTGTATATCGCGCTGAAATCATGCGTTTTAAAGCCATAATAGTTTAAACTTCTGATATAGTGTTTTCTGAGCGCACACATCCGAAGCACACGCACAGAAAGCTTCTGTCACACTTTCATGTCTTATCGCACATAAACTGTCAAATACACAAAAGTTTGTTAAAAACACACGAGTTACAAAAACATGTCGAGTTTACGAGTTATATGTCGTGGCCACAAATAAACCTAACATGTCCGGCACACCGGTCAAATGATGCATGCAAAATTATTCACGCCAAACCTGTAGATATTCAGATTCTCAAATATATGTAAGTCAATGTATTTTGTGGCTCAAACTAATTCATAATGATCACAGGTGATGGCTTAGTTTAGGGGGTATGTGTGCTACCATGTAGTAGCCTGTCGGATTTACAGCATGTGAATTCATCCGTTTCTTCTGAAAGACATGAAAGTAAGTGGCTCGTAACCAGAAAGAAAAATAGAGTGAACTTTATAGGTAGGCTACATACAATGTGCGTTTGACGTGAAAAAAAAATCTAATTATGTTTGAGAGGTTTATTACTGCCATTTCCATATACATCGGTGTATATTATTATTACTATTGGTTTAATGGTTTATAGTGATGTGTATTTTAAATGTCTGAAACATTAAACAACCTAAGCATTATGTGGTTGAAAACACTGACAAACGCTCACTGGGCAAACTCCTCCCTGGCTCGGCTCCTATCATACCAGTGTGATCATACGCTTCAGTAACCAGCCTATCACAACTTTGACCCAAGAAGACATGTGAACAGACGACTGAAGAGCGACACAGAGCGAGTCGGAAAGATTGTATTATTGTTTCTATTGAAAACACTCTTATTTCCTTCTTCCACATCTGCACGCGTCAGTCTCTAGGGAAGGGATAAAATCTCTCCGCAGATGTCAGAAAGAATTAGCTTGCGTTCAAGGCGAGCAGTAACTCGCTGTCTGTCCCTCCTTCTCTCTGTCCAACCATCAAATGCAATTCTTAAGGCTGTTTGAGAATTGCCTCTCAAATAAGTGTTGACTAAGTGTGTGGTGGGCGGATCCTTTATATAAAGTGCTCTGATTTATGCCGTCGGTTTTGCATTTTAATCCCCTTTTGATTACAGCGGGTAGGAGCATGCTGGGAGAAATATCTGTGCTGGCACAATGTGTTTTAATTACAGTAGCCGCTCTGAGGGAGGACTGTTCTTGGAAAACAAGGCTGTGGGGGTTTATTAGACAGGGGATTGCTGTGGATTATTATATTAAAAACAATGGACGTGTTAATGGCCTTTGTATTGGTGTGAGAGCCTGATAAGTGTTTTTCTCTGTCTTTAGGGGTCGTCTTGATGGAGATCTCAGACGTCCATCGGAAAGTCAATGTAGAACTGGAGGAGAACGTGAGTGTGTCCTTTTATCAGTGTTTGTTTCCTTGCTGTAAACACATTCTTAGGCTGACCGAAAGCACATTCAAACACACCCAAACATAAGATCGCCATCTGCAATTTAATCGCTTATCAAACATCCCATTTCCCTTAAACTTTATGAACTCTCCCATTGACGCACAGTCAGTCTTATTAGTGTAAACAACAGGAAAGGGTAGAGGAATACAGTGGACACACCTACTGCATGTTAGATTGTAGTGTTTTTTTTTTATCAGAGCAGGTTTGAACATGCCTGTTGATGCACCTGAGCCCAGCGCCGCATGATGATACGGCTGTTCCTGCTAGTGCAGCTGCTGACTGCAACCTGTGAAGACAGGCCGTCTTTAAACAGCTTCAGTCAAATCTGAGATCATTTTCACAAATCTGATAACGCTTGATCATTCCTAAATGCCTGACGAAGGCATGGATTGTGATACCGATGCCATTCCCAACATTTGTTTCTTTGGTAGATGATAACTAATGTCATTGCCAGTATTGTGAACCTATACTAGTTTGAGAACAGTGTTCACTAGGGCTGCCCCCTAATAGTCGACTAACCTTTAGTCGATGAGAAGAGGCTTGGTCGACGTCGCTTATTCGCAGAAAAAAAAAATCCACAGGAAGTGGTGAGGTCACGCAATCCAAACGCTCGCCTATCATTCATCGACCTCAAATATGGCTTATCATCTGAAATATGTAAGTAGTAGCAACTTAACATGGCCGCTAAATCTAATGTTAAAGGTGCAGTAGGAGATCTTGGAAAATGCTAACTTTAGCCTGATAGCACTGAAAGCGAATGTCCCTAACAAAGCGAGACATGCAAAATATGCAGAGCGGGGGGCGTGAGGACTGGAATTGGGTACCACTAGCCACTTTTCCACTGTCGGGCCAGTGCAAGCCAATGCTTTAAATGGGCCGGGCGGGGCTAATAGCCTCGGACCTGTAGCACCGAGGCCAAAATCACGCTGCGTTTCCACCGTCGGGCCAGAAGCTCCGCTGCGCTTCACTAAAACCTGCCCTTTACACGCGTCTCAGGAACAATGTCACGCAACCCCATCATTTCACCAACAAAGAGAAGTTATCAGAAAACTAATAAAAAATAAGTCACTGGAAATAGCGCGATCACAAAACGAACATGATAAAAGCGGCCGTTTGTTTGCGTGCTTTGTTAAACATTTAAATCCAAAAGCATCGATTTTTTACAATAATAAGTGATACATTGATCATAATTAATTAATTTATTAGGATTGAAATTTAGTCACACAGAAATAAAGCGGTATGAACATAGCCTACCCACTTATTCAGTAGAGTCTGTTTCTGTTTATTTGTAGTCATTATATACATTATATGTACCTATATACATTACATTTAGAAAGAATGATCATTTCTATATTTTTATAAAAGCTTTTTTTATACAATTTTTATGACATACGATTGTACACGATTGTGATGGCGAGTAAGAAGCTGACGTCTGATTTCTTCAAGCGGTCATATTTACCATGTTTACTATGGTAACATTAATGGATAGCGTGCATAGTCTTTTGCATCGCTTATAAATATTTCTGCCTTGTATGCTGATCATAATCCACATCGGATCAAGTTATTTCAAACACTCGCTGCTATCTGAAAGTGAGTTCATTTAAATCCAAAAGCATCGATTTTTTTACAATAATAAGTGATACATTGATCATAATTAATTAATTTATTGGGATTGAAATTTAGTCACACAGAAATAAAGCGGTATGAACATAGCCTACCCACTTATTCAGTAGAGTCTGTTTCTGTTTATTTGTAGTCATTATATACATTATATGTACCTATATACATTACATTTAGAAAGAATGATCATTTCTATATTTTTATAAAAGCTTTTTTTATACAATTTTTATGACATACGATTGTACACGATTGTGATGGCGAGTAAGAAGCTGACGTCTGATTTCTTCAAGCGGTCATATTTACCATGTTTACTATGGTAACATTAATGGATAGCGTGCATAGTCTTTTGCATCGCTTATAAATATTTCTGCCTTGTATGCTGATCATAATCCACATCGGATCAAGTTATTTCAAACACTCGCTGCTATCTGAAAGTGAGTTTTGAACAAAAATTATTTTAAAAGTCTTTAAGGAGAACTGGTGTCTGCTGGTGTTATAGCTGTTAACTTTATGAAATGATCCGCGGCGCTGACACTCTCCAGACGCGGAGAAACGCGACAGTGGAAACGCGGCTACTGGGCTACATCATGTGTCATTCACCGGTGAGAGAACTTTAAAAGTACTACAATACCAGGAAGGAAGATCAGGTTGTTGATGTTTGTCTGCCATTCTCTCTCGCTCTGCACAGTGTGCGTGAATGTGCTAATAACGTATCCTGTCTGCGCGAACCCGGCACGCAGAGGTATGCTAATACATACGTTGACAGGCAGGTAGGAAAGCCAACTAAAACGCTCGGACCGAGCGTTTTGATTGGACGAACATTTCTTGGTCCTACGCCTTCCACAGAATATATAAATACAGATAAATACATTAAGACCACTCAACTTAATGATTGCTATCGCGATGTGAAGAGACTTTCAACCAGCATAACAAAAAATGTTTCTGAAGACAATCACCTATTGCACCTTTAACCTAGAAAAAGTGCGCTATTCAAGTGTTTGTGCGGAGTGTGAAGCTGAACAGTAGTGCGCTCACAGCATGACAGACGGAGGCGCCGGTGCGCTCACTTACTCTTAAAATACTCCGTCATTTTTGTCATACAGATAAGAGTAATACATCTTTCGAATCTGTAAAGCCTCTATGTTTAGTTGTGTGCACTCACTATAACAACAAAACATTGCGCTTTTGTAAAATAATGAAAGCAAACAGGGTGCGCTTTCTGCCGTCTCGGCCTCTGTGAACTCTATGTATACTTGCCTTACAGACATGAAAAATATATCTATAGAGAGTGAAATGTCTACTTTCAAATGAACTGAAAAAACAAATAGCCTATTCTCAGATTATGTAATCCGTATGAAACTGCATGCAGGCGCATCCACTACTGTGAAGATGACGAGTCAGTGTCGCCGAATTAATCTCTTAAGCCGAAATCACAGAAAACACTAGTTTATCAATAGGTTATTAAAATGTTAATGCAGTTTAATCTTAATGTTTTTCCCTGACACATTCATCATCATTACTTCTGCCGGTGTGCTGTGGCAAGCTTTATGCGTGTGCTTGAGCACTTATTAGGCTATGTAGGCAATAAAAGGCACATTAGCATGATTTAAATGGTTTATTAATAAACGTGCGATTAGTCGACTAATGCTTCAAATGAACGACTACTAGTCGACCAGAAAAATCTTTAGTCGAGGGCAGCCCTAGTGTTCACGCTAAGGCCTAAAACGAATACTAACATACATCAGTTTTAGTACACTGGCATAATTTAAAGTTTAAAAAAAGTTCATCATAAATGTAATCAGCATGAATTGTGCGGTTTAATCCAGGTCTTCTGAAGAGATACGATCACTTTACAGTCATGATGAAAAGATTTCGTTTAAGCTTTTATTCAGATAGTCTAAGTTGAAGCCCTTAGTTGTGATGGGGCATCTGTCCACTTTGCTGTTATAATTAAAGGCAAATAACTTGTATTTTAATCACCACTGTTTTTCTGACACAAACCGAATAAGGCTTGAATGAACATCTCAATTATGGCGACTGCAATAATTAAAATATAATTAAAACGCTAGCCCAAAAACTGAAAATGTACTCACCGACATGTCACAGTAAACTGGAAAACAAAAGGAGACATTGAATCATTTAATTCTTTTTCATCAAAATACAAAGACTATGGACTGAAGTTAGATTGTTCACATGGTTGCTCTGCCGTGACAGTAATTTACCTGAATGAGAAAACTCAACATAGAAGAGTGTTTTTTTCTTTTCTTTTTTGCTACGATGTATTTTTATATTTTTACTCTCTGTAACATTTCAACACCTGCTTTAATTTATTACTCAGATTCTTGATTAGAAAAAGACCAGCTGAGCTGTTCATATGCATATGACACATCTACTGCTGTTCAGTACACTGCACGCTGCAAGCAAGTGATGTGACAAATCTAAACCCATTATAGACCAGACAGTATACTTTATTATCTAGTCTAGTCAAGTCCGCTATAACATCCGTGAGAGTTCAGAAGTCTGTGCAGTGAGCTCTGAACCACAGGACTGTTGTGTGAAACGGTGTAAATCTGCAGACACTGTGACAGCTTCAGTGATTATAATGGGATGGGTGCGTTCTGATATTGTTGCACTGCGGCTTTGTGCATAATTTAAACAAAATTTGAATACGTTTTGTTTTCCATGCTTCAAATAGCACATCTGCTGTAATTTTCAGCCGAGACATTTTCTTCCCTACTTGAGATTTTAAGACACTCTTTTCTCTCGCATATTTATTGACGGGGCAAAATCGGCTCTCATCATTGGCTGCTTTCATAGTAATGTCCAGCAGCACAGATAGATACTTTTATCATCCGATACTGATGGTTGTGCAGATTTCATGAGGATTTCTCATAATTATGGCTGGAAAGACACATCAGCGGTTGGATTATGTGATTAATCAAAGCCCTACACATTATGACATTTACAGGTTCATTTCTGTATCAGATGTGCAGGTTACTGTGTTAGCCTACATTGCACCCAGAACCTAAAAATATGAAACAAGAATGTCTTCTTGAATATAGGGCAGACACATCTAAAACACAACAGTGATTCCTCATTAAATGGCTGTAACAAACGAAGCATTTTTCTGAATGAAGACATGCATGAATGAAGACGTGTCAGGAAGTGTAGGCAAACACTGGGAGTGTGGGATCTCACTTAAAAAAGGGGCAAAAGCAGATTAGTGAGGGGCAGGTGGGCGCACTTGTAGCCATGATGATGAGGTATCCCTCTGTTTGTCTGTGACTCATCTCTTCTATAAGCACTTTAGCTTATACAACAACTGTAAACAGCCTGCCGAATCATCCGGTTGCCTCGTTTTCTGTTCTTGTATGTGTTTCATCACAAGCTGACTTTCATGCCAAACCGTTATCATTCATTTAGTGGAGTTTGTATCTGTTTATTTTTTCATTTCTTTCTCTCTCCGTCTCTACAGTTCAGACGCTTTCATCGGGAGGTTATTGCGGAGTTGGAGAGGAAGACAGAGATGGATGTGAAATACATGACGGTGAGCTGCCGTATGTTCATCATTGATAGGAAAGCTACTTGAAATACTTGTATAAAGGATAAATGCATTAAAGATCATTTAAGGGGGTAATGTGGTAACTATTTTGGAAACTATTTTTGCAACAGAAGTGCTAAACTTAGATATACAATACCGTTTAAAAGTTTGTGGTCAGTATTTTTTTTTTTTTTAGAAATTAATACTTTTATTCAGCAGGGATGCATTAAATTATTCAAAAGTGACAGTGAAGACATTTATAATGTTTCAAATAAATGCTGTTCTTTTGAACTTTCTGAAGAATCCCGGAATTTTTTTTTATCTTGATTTCCACAAAAATATCAAGCAACTGTTTTTATTGATAATATTAATGCAGTAAATCAGCATATTATACTGATTTCTGAAGATCATGTGACACTGAAGACTGGAGTGATGATGCTGAATATACAGCTGCACATCACAGAAATAAATTACAGTTTAAAATATTTTACAATTAGATTATTTTAAATTTCAAAATACTGTAATATATATATACTATAACATATAACATAATATAATATAACAGTAACAACCAATCACAGCGCACCATTCCACGCACTGTAAACAGTAACAACCTTTTTTTTTTTTTTTTAATTAATACTTTTATTCAGCAGGGATGCATTAAATTATTCAAAAGTGACAGTGAAGACATTTATAATGTTTCAAATAAATGCTGTTCTTTTGAACTTTCTGAAGAATCCCGGAATTTTTTTTTATCTTGATTTCCACAAAAATATCAAGCAACTGTTTTTATTGATAATATTAATGACGATAATAAGAAATAAGCAGTAAATCAGCATATTAGAATGATTTCTGAAGATCATGTGACACTGAAGACTGGAGTGATGATGCTGAATATACAGCTGCACATCACAGAAATAAATTACAGTTTAAAATATTTTACAATTAGATTATTTTAAATTTCAAAATACTGTAATATATATATACTATAACATATAACATAATATAATATAACAGTAACAACCAATCACAGCGCACCATTCCACGCACTGTAAACAGTAACAACCAATCACAGCGCACCATTCCACGCACTGTAAACAGTAACAACCAATCACAGCGCACCATTCCACACACTGTAGACAGTAATGGCGGTGCTTTGAACACACCCGGCATCCTAGTTTTCCTAATCTATTTTGTACTTTGTGATCAACAAACAAACTTAGGGCTGCACGATAAATGGCATGTGATTGTCGTGTGCATCTCGTCAGTAAAGCCGGTTCTGTGATCAGTAGTAAATCTCCATCACGTGCTTTCAGATGGAGCGGCATTTAATACACAGAGCCGTAGATCACTGCTATATCGCCTTCATAATCGCAGATGAGTCGCATTCGATTATGAACGTGATATTGCGTAGCTTGTCAGAGTAAGTGTTTTTATTTATGCCATTAATGTTTTTAAAATCAAAATCTGTATTTGAATTTTTAATGTTATTATAACCTAAAGATGCTATGTGAATGTTTGAAACAGAAAATAGTGGTTTTCATCTTGCCACTTTCTTGGTAAAGAAAACACATTTTTACTCAAATTAATCAAAATGGATTTATAGCATTTTGGAACCAAACTCTTCATATATATATATATATATATGTGTGTGTGTGTGTGTGTGTGTGTGTGTGATTTAATTACAAGTAATTACAACTGTTGATGCTAAGAACATCTTAATTCATACAAACTAAATTGAAAGCGTAGTGACAAACAGCAGTATTACCTATGTTTTTTGTATTGGTTTTACAACAAAGATTATGTGAAATGCCCTGCAGGGTCTTTGAGGAACACTTGTAGGTAACGAATAAGTGAATTGTTTCTTCTGTTCTGGCCTCATTTGCAAAAATGAATCAGACGTCCCAGTGCTAGAGAGACCGAGGGAGCATATTTGCATTTGATTGTTGCCTCTGCATTCTCAGTTATAAGGCTGTGTGTGTGCATTACAATGTGACCTACAATGCGTACAATGTCACGCTACAGTGCTGCTAGTTGGAAAACATAGGTGGTAACAGGAAAAGCTTGATTATTTTGAAAACGACTACGGTCACGCCACTGAAACATTTAGTTAGTAGTGGCATTACTTTGTTCCCAATGCTGGTGTCCTCGTATGATTCTTTGCAGATGCTGTATGCCTGTGGGAAATGTGCCCTAAAACGGCATTATCTTCAGAGATGGGGAGTGAAAATCAGACTCATGTCACGCTATTTGTTTCCTGTCTACATCTAACACAGGAGTCAAACAGACTCGTCTCTGCACTGACACACCGTGCGTGTATGGACATGACTGCACGCCCCCGAGTGACACTGATCTAATACCGTCTGTCCACAGGCCACGTTTAAGAGATATCAGACCGAACACAAGATGAAGCAGGACTCGCTGGAGAGATCGCAGTCAGACCTGAAGAAACTCAAAAGGAAAAGTCAAGGAAAGAACGCTTCGAAGTATGAGAGTAAAGAGAACGAGGTACGTGGGTTTGTGCCACACATACTGTATATACCTACACATGTGCTCATGTTTTTATTTACAGTTAAAAAAATAATGCATTGTTCTGTTTATAATGTAATAATACCGTATTGGCCCGAATATAAGACGACCCCCCTTATTGGGGGATTTAGGACATTTAGGCTATGCATCTAATAGTAGCCTACCAAACTCTTATTAACAGTAGAAGTTAAATCTTACTGTAGTCTTCAAATCTGGGTACTGTCTTACGTTTTAAAATCACAAAGGGAGTTTGGTCGCATCAGGCTAACGTGACAGTCACGACTCATGCAGCTGTAAGCTTTTCTTTCTCTTTTGTTTTTACTCGCGGTCTTTACAACACACATTACGTATTTCACGGCACACTTTTATGTGTATTTGGCGCCACCTATTGTTGTGGGTGTATTATTGACATGTCAAAGTCTAGACCCTGAATATAAGACGACCGCGTTTTTTCAGATGTATTTCCAAGAAAAAAACATCGTCTTATATTCGGGTCAAAACGGTACTTTTGAGTTGCATTGCATTTCAGTGATGGTTTTTTGTTTTGTTTTTAATTTTCCTTAACATGTGGTGTTTAAAAAAAAAACACTTTTATTTTATGGCTGGAACAAAGATGCCAAATGTACCTGTACTTCGGTACCATGTTGATACTAAAATGATTTAACGATAACAGTTTTCATGCTGTTTCAATTCAGGCTTCTTTTGAATGCTTGTATCCACATTCATCATGAACGGCATTCACAGCCTGTGAAAATGTGGTTGTGCGTGAATGGTCAAACGCACTTCTTCCTACACGATGAATCTGTGTTTTCAGTGTCTCAGAGTGGCTTGGTTTCCACACGAACTTCATCTCTGTGTCTGCTCTGAGTTTGGCTTGCTTAAATGTTTAACATGCGCCAGCCGTCTTACCATATTTCTAATGAGAAGCACTTCTCAACAGAAGAGAACTGCTTTTTTCCTCCCAAGTTAAAGTTCAATGGTTTAACGTTTGAAACTGAAGAAATTAACACAGCCATTACTTAGCCAAACTTATTTTTATTTTACAGTTAAATATTATAGCAGTTATATTTATTTTGATTTAGTCATTTTTATATTTATATTTAATAATAATAATTAGTATTTAATTTTTAATTATTTATTTATTTAGCCATATTGTTTAAAATCACAAAAATATTAGTTAATATTTCTGTGTGTATTCAATAGCGTATTAGCTGTGGCATAAAATATTGGTATCTTATCGGCGCTTTCTGGAATGCAGTATTGACAATGCGGGAACTGTCCGTTTTATAAATATATTTAAGTTATAGCAGCTTGTTGGACATTCCCTCGGCCACATAGTTGAATATCTGTCACTGGATGATATCAGATGCAGGCTTGTGTTCATATCAGGGCTCCAGACAAAATAAAAATAGGCTCCAAATTATTTTTTTAAGTGCCACAGAATAAACGTGTTTTATTCCTTTCTTTCTTTTTTAAACGCTTTCCCCCGGTTTCAACAAAGCATAGCATATAGACTAAAGATCTTGATAACAAGAAGCCATTTGTGAGCCTGGAGCACAAAAGCAGTGTTGAGTCGCTGGGGGATATTTGTAGCAATAGCCAACAATACATTGTATGGGTCAACATTATAAATTTTCAAAAATAGGCTCCAAATTATTTTTTTAAGTGCCACAGAATAAACGTGTTTTATTTATTTCTTTCTTTTTTAAACGCTTTCCCCCGGTTTCAACAAAGCATAGCATATAGACTAAAGATCTTGATAACAAGAAGCCATATGTGAGCCTGCAGCACAAAAGCAGTGTTGAGTCGCTGGGGTATATTTGTAGCAATAGCCAACAATACATTGTATGACTGTGCTTATCAGAGGCACGGAGGCTACTAGTACATACATTAGATGAACTGTGACCGAGGAACCAAACAGCGAAGCTTTACTTCCACCAGAGAAATGCCTGTCGATAGTGTGGGACCATTTTGGGTACGCCAAGAATGATCAGGGTGTCATTTAAATATTGCCGTAAAAAACTGCTGCTAAAGAGCGAACACATAAGGGATGATGCACGGCTTGCTGTACATTGAACGATTTTAATGCACGACGTGACGATAAGAACCAAGTTATTTTCAAAAGAGGAATACTGTCGTGGATGTTTACAGAGCAGAGGTCCAATGGGAGAGATGGACTTCTGTTTGTCTTTTGTTATTATAATTTTGTGCTGTGTTGTTGGTTACTGTGTTATTTCTGTTTCAAAAGCCAGCAATAAATAACACTTTAATATCTAAAAAGTGATTTTATACATTAGTAATGTTGGGATATGAATAAATGCATAATAACCGTCATAATCGTAAAACCGTGATTATTCCTCAGACAATAATCGTACCAACAAAATCTATAATCGTTGCATCCCTAGTTGTCTTGTAGCATTGAATGAGGGTGAAACACAAACACAAGTACCTCCATAAACTTTGTTCTGTAGTAGTGGATCCATCTCTATATAAATAAAGTCCACTAGCAAACAACTATACATGAATTCTGACCCTAATCTTCTGATATGAAAACTAAAGGCGCATGTATTGGTTATGACCCTCTGCATAGACCCTTTTCATGAGGCCTGCGGAGATGAATTGCTTTTCTCAGTGTGTTTGCACCCTGATGGCTAATGTCTCACCTCAGCGTGGAATTTACTGACAGATTACTCTCTCTCGCCGATGATGGATGGATGTGCCAGTCACGGCGGTGTCTGCGATGAGAGACATACCTCTTCCCTTTGTTCCAGACAGCACATCATTGACATCCTGATATTTCAGCGCTCCCGCGTTCCTCGTAATCCGTCTCCGCTGCTCTTGACAAGCTTTTGGTGTCATTTCTCACTAAATAGTACCGTTTTCGAGAGTATCTGATGGTATCAGGTAGTACAGTTTTACTGGTTTGTTTTGTCTGTTTTTAATTGAATACTTTGAAAAGTTGAAAGAAGTTTATGCTTATTTCATACAATACTGAAAGGTTTGAATTGTTCAAATGTTTTGGGTTGTAAGAAGGGAAGTAACGATTAATCGCGAGCCGGTTGAAAATCTATTTAAATCTGTGACGCTTCAAATCGGCTGAGATGCTAAACAAATCACGATTCATTTAGGGGTAAGAGTTTATATGAATGCATGTCTGAGGGGAATTTCTGTCTTTCGATGGTATGTTTTCTTTTCATCTTGCTTCTGTATAATGCATATTAAAGCTCATAAGTGCAGCGCTGCTTTGTTTACAGCGGAAACCAAGGAAAGGCTTTAAGCGCCACCTGCTGGCAGAGAGTGCATCTGCGTCTCGTTCAGCTCGTCTGCTGTTTCGGTTTCATGCAGATCTTTTTTATGCATAGTTTCACAAAACTGAAGTCAAACCATTCTGTTTTTGCTTCAGCTTTCGGAATTATACAATCTAATTTAGATTAAAAACTGCTCATGTTGCATGTATGCAGCATCTTTGTTTGGATCCTGATTAAAATGCCTCTAATTTTAAATGTTAAGAGCACAGACAAAGCCTTATTTTGTTCATATGAAGAGATTTCTTTTATTTGTGTTATTTGATTTGATTTGGGGCTTGTAAATAAAACTAAATTTAAATTTTAAAACATTTAAATACATCAATAAATTTTCACAGACCCCAGACTTTTGAACCAGACTGGTTTGCCAAGGAAAGGCTTTAAGCGCCACCTGCTGGCAGAGAGTGCATCTGCGTCTCGTTCAGCTCGTCTGCTGTTTCGGTTTCATGCAGATCTTTTTTATGCATAGCATCACAAAACTGTCAAACCATTCTGTTTTTGCTTCAGCTTTCGGAATTATACAATCTAATTTAGATTAAAAACGGCTCGTGTTGCATGTATGCAGCATCTTTGTTTGGATCCTGATTAAAATGCCTCTAATTTTAAATGTTAAGAGCACAGACAAAGCCTTATTTTGTTCATATGAAGAGATTTCTTTTATTTGTGTTATTTGATTTGATTTGGGGCTTGTAAATAAAACTAAATTTAAATTTTAAAACATTTAAATACATCAATAAATTTTCACAGACCCCAGACTTTTGAACCAGACTGGTTTGCCCAATATTTTTATGTTGACTGTGACTGTTGACTTTTATGTTTATTAGCATGTAGCAACATGCTCATGTCAGACTGTATAGGAATCAGTTGTGAGGTGTGTTATTGCTAAAATCATTCACGGATGAGGATGTGATGAAGACAGCGTGGCCGCTCACTAGGGTTTAGGACAGATCTACGATGCATCCCGTGTGCATCTGTCTTTTTGAGGTTTTCCCGTTTGGGCAGGAATGGAGTGTTTCCCATCTCTTCTCCTCCATGTGCGCCGTGTCCTCTGTTTCTTTTACCTTTCTCCACAGAGGGAGGACGAAGGTGTCCATAGCAACAGACTTTATCACGGGTCTGTGATGATAAACAGGACAAATTACACCCCTGTCCGTCTCCCGTGCTTCCATCACCGCTCTCTGGGACGTGTTCGTCTGGACAGATAGGCTGGTGCTTTTAACTCTGTGTGTGTTCATCTGTAATGTTGCAGAAAATGCAGCTGTTATCTCTGCTGTCCAGACTGTGTGTCTGTGTGCCAGCCAGACAAGACAATGTTTGCATGTAAGAGAAAGCCCCTCAATGTGTGCGGGTTTGGTTTTTAATCAGCCCACTTCACACATAGAAGTACATCTTTTCAAAATCAACTAGTTTGTCCTTAGGAAATGCATTATAATTCAGCTGGTCACATCCATTAGACACCAAGCAGACAGTTTCTTAGGGGGCTTCTCTAATTTGATTCGATTTAAAGCATTAAAGCAAAAAAGAGTGAGAGAGAATTTGAAAGCGATATCAAGATTGTTTGATTGTCAGGCAACTAGTCCCCCATTTTTTTTTGGTCTAGTGGATGGTTTATTTGTAGATTGTGTTGGTCTGTTTAAACACGCATGATTCAGACTGACTGGAATATGTTATTATATACACACAAAGGAGGAAGTGGATTAAAATCAGTCATAAGGACGAGGACCACCCACCCTGCCCCTTCCTGCATCACCAGCTTTTATTGTTTTCCTTTGCCGTTAATAGCAGCACCTGTGCTTGAAAAGCAACAGAATAACAGGCTGGCCCGTCCTCTTCATTAACAATTGATACAGCGGTTTATTGCAGACAGGAAATGTCGTAACCGGTGTGGCGTGTAGATTACAGTCCCCAGCTGTGCCTCGGGACCGTGACGTTTACTGTTTGTGTAGAATATTTGATCAGTTTTGACCTCGAGTGAGTCTCCTGATGAAAGAATGTATGGGAGCTATATAAATAAATGATGATTCTTATTGAACCATTTGATTTTCTCCTGTATTCTAGGCCTCATCTGCTAAACTTTCGAAAAACATCAGCGTATGGACTTTAGGGCTGGGCGATATGGGCAAAAATTCATATCTCAGTATTTTTTAGCCGATTTGCGATATACTGTATCTATCTACATATATATATTTCACTTACCGCCCAATGTTGTCCAACAAAACAATGCATATTAAAGGCTATGAAAACAAATAAAGTGAATGTAACCATTTAAGCCTTTATATTGCGTGCAAAAAAGGGTTAAAATCACATTTCATTCTAACATTGTAACATTGCAATCTAAAAACAAAAATAAGGCTTTTAAAGCAGAATTTGGAAATATTTCCATGGCTTTCTAACATTTACCGATGGAGAATATACCTGTGTAAGTAATGCATTCAGGAAGACAGCACATCTCAAACACATTAAACAGCACGAGTAGCCTGTGTCTCTGCCAGCGGCACACGTAGCCTTTCTGTCAGAGCATATGACGGCCGAGCCGCTTAAACTAATATGCGAAATGAAACCATAAACTATGACTTACCAGTTTTTAAAGGCCTTAATATGAAGCTTGTCACATGTTAAGAACAAATTGGATTATGCACTTTTTCTGCAGGAGCTCAGTCTGTGTCCTCCGCTATATTTTCAGATGTGCTCTTATCAAACTACTGTTGCAGTCTTTCTGTCAGAGCATATGACGGCCGAGCCGCTTAAACTAATATGCGAAATGAAACCATAAACTATGACTTACCAGTTTTTAAAGGCCTTAATATGAAGCTTGTCACATGTTAAGAACAAATTGGATTATGCACTTTTTCTGCAGGAGCTCAGTCTGTGTCCTCCGCTATATTTTCAGATGTGCTCTTATCAAACTACTGTATATCGATATAAACAGTATTGCCTCATATCGAATCATTATAAAGAAAATATTGATATATCGTACAAACTCGATATACCGCCCAGCCCTAATGGACTTCATAAACAGTTTAGTGCTGGTCTGATGTCTTTAAAAGGCCTGGAAGTGACTTTTTGCATTCATTTTGAGAGTGAATGCACACGGTATAATATTGAGGCAAAAGAAGTGAAAAAAAATTCAGTTTTGGTCAAATTTGAGGTTTTCACAAAAATGAGTTCATTAAAGTGGTCATACAATGCTTTTTTTAAAGATCATTATTTTGTGTATTTGGTGTAACAGAATATGTTGACATGCTTTAATGTTCAAAAAACACATTATTTTTCAAATACTGTACATTATTTTAGTTCCTCTATGCCGTCAAAACTTGAAATCGCATCATATGACCTTTTTAAACAAAGATGGTGTCATTAGAATTAAGGCCCATTCATACCAAGAACATAAACTATAAATAGACCGTCCATGCAGTAAGCCAATTTATAAGTGTGTGCTTCAGTTCAGTGCACACTTTAAAGTTGAATGGATTTTTAATGGCACGTGGTCAAGGTTTTTATCATTTACCAGCTGGAAAAAAATCACTAGTCTTGTTTTCTTGAAGGCTCGAGAACTTCTGACGGAGAACCTGACCAGTTGGCAGGACAAATGTAGTGACGCTTCCAATGTCCCTGAGAGTGTGATATCCATGATTGAAGGTCTACGCACTCCACAGGCGTCTCCATCCCTCCAGCGCTACAACAGGGTGAGGAGGACACCAGCTCCTACACTATACAGTGCTCACACATGAGTACAGAGGGCCTGTCTTGTATGAATTCTTACCTGCGTTTTTCTGTACCTGTACAGGCCAACTCAGATGCAATGTTTCCTGCACCGCCAGCACCTCCTCAGACGAGTCCCCTGGCCAACATGTTCAGTCAGGAGTCCTCCAGGAGAGAGGAGAGAGAGTCAGGTACTACCTCAATCATTACGTAGATTTATTGTACCAGTCTCGCCTTGTAATCTAAAAGTTTACATTTGACCGTTTTACTTTCCTAAAACACATTCATAATTTTATTGTGCATGACTCCACCTTTTACTTTTTAGGAGATGTCATTAAGACGGTGTAGGCAAGAAAAAAAAACATTCCAGTAGCTAAATTGCTATTTAGTCATTGTTGTATGCTGCGGTTGTAGTTGATGCAGGAATTTCAACCTTTTTAATGTCATTTTAATACCAGTTAACATACAGATATCAGCAATTATAGCTTTAATATATAATATAGAAATGTAGAAATATAGATTAAAAATATAAAATGCAAAATAATATAGAATAATAGGCCTTTTTGGGTCAGTGTTATTTTAGTGTTATTTATACATTAATATAGTATTTATTAATATTTAATTAGCAATTATATCAGCAATTATAGCTTTAATATATAATATAGAAATGTAGAATAATAGATTAATAATATAAAATGCAAAATAATATAGAATAATAGGCCTTTTTGGGTCAGTGTTATTTTAGTGTTATTTATACATTAATATAGTATTTATTAATGTTTTTAATTAGCTTTTATTTTTATATTTTCAGTTTTTTTTCTTAGTTTCAGTCATTTTAGTTTTCGTAATTTTGTCATTTTATTATTTTTAAATATTTGTAACTAGCTTTATTTCAATTTATTACCATTATTTTATTTTATTTTTATTATTAAGCATTTTATTTTAAACGTTATTGGTGGCCAAGGCGTCATTTCAAATTTTCTTTTCGTTTTCTTTTTAATCGAATATTTATATTGTTTTATTTCAGCTTTGTTTTAATTAACTTTTTTTTTAATTTTTTTTAGTTTTAGTTGACAATAACAGCACTGTTTTTTGATGCATTCGTATGCTGAATGTTTTACAGTTCAGTCAGTTCGTGATGAATATTTCGTTCTTGTTGAATATTTTTTCACTTCGAAATGTGTCGCGTTACAATTGTAAAAAAAAAAATAGCAGTGAATTAGAAATTAAGAGAACTATTGTTCGATATGTCAAATTTGCAACTTCTGTACTCATTTAGATCATTAAAAATGAAGCTTTGAGGACTTTGGGAGACGTGTTGTCTGTCTTTTCCCCTCCAGTCTACAATAACGAGGACAACGCATTGTCTAGGTCTGTGTCGATGGCCACTGGCCTCAACCACATAGACAAAAGACCCAAAGTGCGCACCATTTTCCCCCACAAGTCTGGAAACAACAGCACGCTGCTGAGCTTTGAAGAAGGAGACATTATCACACTGCTGATTCCTGACGAAAGGGACGGCTGGCTGTACGGAGAGCTGCAGAAAAGCACTGAAAGACAGTGAGTGGAAGGTTGAAATGTGCAAACACTTAAAATATACTCAATAACGTTTTTGTAATATTAAAGTTATAATACTAACTTCAACTTTAAATTACATAATTATATTTCTACTCCAACATTTAAATCGTGGTTGTCTGCATTTAAATTTAATTGAATTTTACGGATTTATTCAATTAAATATTGAAGAACAGTAAAATAAATTAATTAATGAAAATGTTATATGGTGCATATTTAGCAAAATGCTCCTCTCTAGAGTTAATTTGTCTAGCTGACTAATGAGTTCATGGTCATCGTGACGCTAGGTGACATTGTTTACAAGCTATTGTCGTCTTTGTGCGTTTGAAACACTGATTGAGCGATTACATGAGACAGGAGATGGATTTCAGTAAGTTGTACTCTTTCTTTTAACACACCTTCAGATGTTCATTCATGTTTATTTCATGCTGTAACTGCTTCACAGCGATCTGTCACTCCACATTAAACAGCCCCGAAACGGCATTTAAGATTTTAATATTGTAATAAAGTGGACATAATTTGAAATCTGAGACTTTGTTTCATATCAAAAGTAACAAATCACAAAGCTTATTGCAATCTATTGGATGGGAGGCGCACTGCAATCTTCCGTTCATTATCGGACAGGCCCACATCCGGCCCGTGAGAGAAAAAAGTCTGGCCCTCGCTAATTTCAAATGTGGCATGAAAATGCAAACGCAGCATGAGAAAGCTACATTAACTTACGTCGTGTCTACACCGGACGCGAGCGGTGCGGCGCAACGCAATAAAATTAATTAAATCTGAGGTAAAATATCTATTGTTGCTTTCACTATGGCTATAAAGATAATGCAAAATAATATTCAAACTCACATTAGACACTTTTAACATTGAATAAAGCACATAATCATTACCTGAGAGTATCACTGTCATAGTTTGTATGTTGTTCCTGCTGCCACGACGTCGCAGAAAATAAAAAACGTTCCTAAAATAGAATCCCATGTCGCTTATTGTCACGTGTCGCTGTCGCGGTTGGTTAGGACAGAAACTACAAGGAAAATATACTTTTCATCACGTCGTGTCTGGTTGCATGGCAGACATGGAGATCCAGATTTGTTGTTTGTTAATTTGTTTTTAATATTCAACAGGCAAAGTTCTGTATCTAAATGAAAAAATGTTCATAATTGTTTGAATAAAACAGACTGGGGGGAAAATCTGAATATTCATCTTGTGACCATCTTGTGATTATTTTAACAAAACAAAATAATTGTAATAATAATTATATATATATATATATATGTGTCAGTGGCCCTTGGCTTGGTATTGTTGGCAGAATTCGGCCCTCAGCGAAAACTAATTGAGGTACCCTGGGCTAGATTAATCAATTCTTGAGATTTATGAATCGATATTGTTTCAAAATCGAGAAATTTATATTTTTTTACCCAGCCCTAATAATAATGATTTGGCTTTACAGCTAACACTTGATTATTGTTGGAAGCCAAAGTCATAATTAAAAATGCGTTTTTAAGAACGATGTGCAGGTGAAGTTGTTTGGCTAGTGAACATCAGCCAGTCAGTGCATCTCCGATGTACCGAAGTGGCTCAGGAGGTGGAGAGATGTTATGTGTGCTCAGCTGCTGGTGCCAGTCTGCAAACCAGCTGTGAAGAAGAAAACCCCATTCATTGTGGTGTCAGTCAAAGCCACGTCAAGCCCTGTTTCGAGAGAGCAGACGGGGCGGCCGCTTATCTGAGATGCAGAACACAGTCTCCCTAAGGACCTGAGGACTTTCAGCAGGTGGAGGAGACGTAATCAGAATAACTCATTTATGGCAGAGAAAGCCATCTGAACATGCCAGCATTCCTGCCAAAAACTGATGTTGTTGGTTTGAGAGAATGCTACCAGATGGCAAAACAGACAGGGTGTGCTCCGAATGCATTCAGAGCCGTCAGTAGCTTTGCCACAGAAGTCAAGTCAGAAGTTGAAGTTGGAATAGAGCTAATAAACTTTCAGGATGAAGACAAGTAGTAAAATTACCATTCAAACTTAACTAATCGATTTTCCTTTGCCTTCCAATAAATCCCTCATTTGCATCTCTTCAATACGACTGAATGCATTGGGTGCTGCTTTGAATATGTGACCTGCGACCGCTGCGCAGCCAGTATTTCTATTTTAATGGTATTTTTGGTTGAGGTTCACTTTTATATTGGCGGTCAATACATTATTGTCTGATAACTGGGAAACTTTGCGTATTATTATAGTTGATTATTATAATTATAAAGTTTATTATATATTATTTAAATGTATAATAATATATCAATTATAAAGGAATAATCAACCCAAAAATGAACATTGTCATTTTCTCACCCTTAAAGCGTTAGTTCACCCAAAAATGAAAATTCGGCTGTGTTTTATTCACCCCAGAGCCATCCTAGGTGTATATGACGTTCTGCTTTCAGACCAATCCAGTCGGAGTTAGATAGACGATGCGCTAGATGAACATTTACTGGCCTGAAACAACTTCCGTATTTTTAGAAAAGGTATTTTAAAATGTATCAAATATGATCTGTCGGGCTTTTGAGGAATGTTTATACGTTTATCTCTCGGTCATTGTATTGCATTGCATTGAGCTTTGATCAAAACAATCCAAGCATTTAGATATCATCTTACTAAGACATATTATTGAAAGCCATGTATATCAGATATTATTTATACTGATATTTTTATGACAATTTCGTCTTACTTTTTGGCCGTATAAATATCAGCAACTGCACCAAATAGTATATTTCTGCTCAATTTGGGCCTCTTAAAGTTTTTTCCTCATTGTGTTTGAGCTCCATGTTCTCGTATATCATGCTTTATGAACCATACAAGCCTGATGTATCAAATAAGATACATGTTTGACAAACTTTTTAAAATATTTCATATGTCAGGCTTTACAAGGCTATCGTCGTCGAGTCTCTGCTGGTACACTTGATCAGAGAGTAGTGCCGCCATGTTCAGAGTCTACATAAAACTCCATGCAAGATGTTATTTGCCTTTCAGAGGTGGAGGGGGTTGTAGAAGTCCCATCAATATTAACATTGCCTTGGATCACAAAAACATAATTCCTGAGAAAAACGGCCACACCAAGACAAACACTGCCATTGTGCTTTAAATAATGACAGGCCGTCCTGTGTGCATTTACTGTCACTTCTCACCGCTGCACGTTCAGATGACGGCCCTCTGCTTGAGAACGCAATGCAACTCTCCATCTTCAGCTTGCTTTCAAAATGCTTCTCTCAGTGTTTTATGTCCCACAATCCCAGACTGTGTTCAGTAAACACTGAGCAGACATTTATCCAGGTCCAGATAAAATCATCAGCTCTCTCTATTATTTTATTTATTTATTTTTTTCCATCTGACTTGTGCTCTCTGTCTGTGTGTGTTTTTACAGGCGGGGCTGGTTCCCATCATCTTACTGTCGCGCATACACAGAGCCAGCGGTAAATAACAGGTAATTCGATACCACACACACACTAACACGGCTCTTTGTTGTCCTGATTAGCTCTGATAAACAGAAAACAGTTGTTTTAAATTGTAAAAAATATTTCACAAAATTACTGTTAAATGCAGTCTTGGTGAGCGCAAGAGGCTTCTATCAAAAAGAAGTTTTTATGTTTGAGGAAAGGGCTCCTTTAGAAGGCGATCATAATTCTTTGGGAGTAGTTTAGCAGATTTAAACCATGCCCTGGGAATCACTGGTTGAGGAGATTTCCTTTGATACCGACCAAAGCTTATAACATGCGTGTTCGCAACACGTTTACTAACCGACTATTCGGACAAATAACATGCATTGTAAATAAAAGTTTCTTCTAATGAAAGGATGGGATCAGTGTTTTGATGGTGACATGACTGTGTTTTCCAGTATTGCTGGAAATCCTCCGATGCGCAGTAAGAGCGTGGCCAACCTCATGCAGAAGGACCCAGAGGACGACATGATGGTTTTGCCTCCAGCGGACTACAACGATTCGCCCGTCAGGAGAAGCTCCACCAAGAGTCTGACGAGGACATACTCCTCCACATACGAAATCCCGGTCAGTCTTCCTCATAATCCTCCTCATCTAACAACCTGAATGCTGCTTTCGCTGGCCTCCCTTCACGCTTGGATCGTAGATACCGTTGAGATTATGGTAGATCCGTGTTTGACTTATGATTGTCACCTCATAGGCAATAAAATAGACCAAAAAATCCTTTTTTATTAAATTTTTTTTTTCTTCCAGAAATCACAGGGTTTTTTTTATTGCGCATTCCAAGTAATATCAATCAAACTGCAGTTGGGTTGTTTTGATTAAGTCATAATAACTTAAACAAATACAGGTAATTTACTAAATGAAAGTTCATTGAAAGTGGGTTTTTTTTACATATTAAAAGTTTGTTTTATAGCAAAAGCAGGTAACTCCACATTTCATGTTTTAGAGTTTAAAAAACACTGGTTTAATCTTTGTAATCTCCTCAGATGACGGTGTAGACGCCTGACAAACGTTGTTGTTGTTGTTGTGATCATAAACTGTATGGATGTGATTACACGCAGCACACGGAGCGTTTCCCTCATCAGTGTAACGTGCTGCTTTTGCAAGCTACCGAGAAAACCTTTCAGCTTTTATTTCCCTTTTTCTCCCTGAAGAAGATATCACAGGTTCATCAAGTTCGTCTAAATTATCCATCCTCGATCACTTTTAGTCAGCTTTGACGAAACTCCTCTCAGCTAGCACGTCTTTTCAAAGTGAATGTAGCCTTGTCACCTGACCTGAATACAGCGCGCTGATTCGCTGAAATGGACTTATCGGCTTCTGTTCAAAAACAGCAAGGGCACTTGTCAGCTTCTGCAGTGAAACGTGAACTCGTGAAGCCTTGAAAGTGGACAAGACCGACTTTTTGGACAAAACGTGTTTAGGGTTCAGATCGCGCTACATGTAGAGAATAATGCACGGCAATCAGCTCTTTTTTTTTTTAAAGTGCCATTTATCAGTTTTTGCAAATGAACTCCTTACATATTGAACTGTGATTAGCCTTTCAGAACACTGTTGCAAACGCTTAGCAACACCTTGACATCGCAGTGGTACGTGTTCTATTGACAAGCATCACTGTCAGGAAAAGTAAAAGTCTATTTCTGCTCTAAATGCTGTTAGGCTGTATTTATTGAATTCATCTTAGTTTAGGAGCAACAGAAGCTCGTGTGAAGTTCTCTCAGGTATAGGTGTGTATGTGTGTCAGAGTGTCTAGGCTGTGTCATGACGTGTATACAGTTGCAGTCCTCATGTCTGAGTGGATCAGCGGATCAGGAGCAGGATTGCCCTGTATTAGAAGATGTCAAGCAGGAAAGGAGATTGTCCTGTTCAAGAGAAGCGGAGGCTGTGTTTTATTGGTCAGGGTGTAGAGTGCTCA